ATTCAAGGGTCTTTGTGTGCGCTTCTACAATAAGGTCCCAAGCAAAATACAACAATTAGATATCATGCAGTTTAAATCTACTATTAAAAAAATACTTATTAAAAAAGCTTATTATAAGGTATCCGATTATGTAACAGATAAGAACGCTTGGACTTGAGATGATCCAGCAACTGGATAGGTGATTACTTCTAAACTCATTATCTTGTTTCCATTATTATTAAATGATTATGTTATCATTATAAGACCATATTTATTTATTTTTTCTCTATCTCTGTTTATAATGTATAGATCTGGTAATGACATGGTTTTTGTAAATGTCATTACTCTTATTAGAGCTGGTGAGTTTCTTGCTCGTTCTTCTTATCGGCCAAAAGACGTCCTGAACGAGTGGTAGGGAAAAAAATGTTGGACGATTCAAAAGTACTTTTAAGAAGTCTATTTGAATAAAGATTATTTTGACTTTTGACTTTTTTGACTTAAAAGGAACGGAAATGACTGTCTTTGGTCCGTTCGTTTCCTGCAAAAATCAACTTTTGCTAGAGTCGTCATCTAGTGGAGGTACTTTTGTAGTCCTTTAATTTTTTTTAATACTTCCTCATTATACAGAATCAGAAAGAAGCGCCGGACGAAAAAGGGGCGACGCGGTTTGCGGCGCCCCTTTTGGCCGGCTCCCCTGGGCGGTCGCCCAACCGCGCCCTACCCTAACGCCGCTACTGGGGGGGGGGCATTGTGGGGCAATGCCCTACCTTGAAATCACATTGCCCTACCTTAAAAATAAGTAAGATAAATTATTATAAATAAATTGTTTGTTCTTATTTTGAGATCTTAACATTCCGAACGTACCACAGTTTTTGACATTCATTTCATATTATAATAAGTCTTTGTTCTGTGTATAGATGGCATTTGAAGCGCTATCACGTGAAGAGGTGGGTCTATTTAATTATAATATCTGTGATGCTGAGGGAATTCCCCGTATCATAGATTGCAATATGGCTATTTTATATTGCAATCTATGGTACGAGGAATCCCTTTATAAACTAGAGATTCTACGTTTACAACTTTAACTGCAATCAAAAGGTCACAAAGAATGTCAATGGGTCACGAGAGAATGGCTGATATGGTATTTCTGACCCTTGGAAAAAAAAGAACAAAATTATGTGATCTGAACGAAGTTCTTCACATTTTTAATAAGATGGCAAATCGTAGAATTCAGTTGTTTTAAATGTGATTATTATTATTATTACTTTTTTATTATTTTAACTATGATAATAAGTTTGCAGCAACAATATGATCTAAATGGTATTTAAGTTATATCTATTTACTCATATCACTCCATCCAATAGTTAATTACGTGGATTATAAGATAATATTAAAAACGTGGATCTCTACATCTTGTTAACTTGTCCTTCATCATTGAGGATCTAATAGTTCTTAGATTCAGGCTCTTGTTCTGTCACAGAAATTATTTGTTTACGAATAGCTATTGACCTAGTGGTCAGTTATATACATGGTGATTGATTTAGTAATCCGTGCTTCGGAGCAGATCAATTATGATATTTTTTTACTTCCGCCCTACCTATAACCAATGCTGCCCTGCCTAAAATTCGACTCTAGCTACAGCCCTGAACAGTGCCCTCTAGAGAGCTTGCTAAATATATATATTGTTTCGAAGACTGGTGTGGGTGGCACATTTAGTAACACATTGCTTATTTTAATTAAGTTAAACAATGTTATATAATATTAACCCATCCAATAGTTTTTCTCCGAAAACTTGACAATTTATAGTCTATGAATGAATAAAAACATCGCGCTACAATGTTTATCCGAGGTGAAAGTCTGTAGGTCGTGATTACATATTTTTGGTGTGGTCTTTTTCCGGACAAATCCTCGCCACTCCTTTCTCTTCTTGGCTGAATGTAGAACAACTTGCATATTAACATTCTTACAGATACACATAAACTCTATTCTGTCTAATTTAAATAATTTTAAAGATAGTATACGAGTACATACTCTTTGTGTACCCATAGATACAATCTTATGTGCATCTTGATGAAATCTCTATGCGTGTTCATACCTTCGTGAACTTACTCGTTGGTGCAACCTAATTAACCCTTTGATGCAACCACCCGCACCTAGTGCTCAACGTTGAGTTCCTATTAATTCAACCTTATGTACCCTTTGATTTTTGTTCCCGTTGACGAAACCTGGTACGACCTCGTACAGTACGACCAACATTCATTCAACAGTTAGGTATTAGATTCCGCTCAAAAGTGTAAAGTCCATCTGTGTATGATCCAGCGCTCTAGATGTTGCAAATTCATAATATAATGTCTACGTGATGCGTACCCTTTATGTAGAATGTTAAGATTTTTTTTTATGTTACCGAGATATTATAATTTGTAGAAAATTTGATATCAGCTATTCATAGAAAACGAATGTAATAATTACAGTGATATTTTAGACAAAAGGCTATGTCTGGAAAGTTGATTTTCTGAGTTGCCAACTTCGAATATAAGTAATGAAATAAGTTTCTTCTATTTAGGTAGGTCTATGAAAATAATTTGTTAACAAGTTGAACAAAGAAATATAATTGATTTTTATGATGGTATTGTTTTAACTGCCAATTTTAAAGTTGCATTTAGTGTTTTGGGTAGAGAAATAATTAACGCTGGGTATAGAGATAACACTGAAACTGCACATCTCATTGCGCCTGGTGATGTCGCTTAAATTGTATTCCGTTTTTATTTTCTTTTCTCTTGATCTCCCCAAGAGTACAGCACTAAAAGAATAATAAATCTGAGAAACACTTGGTCTACACCAAATGTCACTTTCCTCCGGTTGAAAGTGTGATATCACGAATGCAAAGTGTATACACATACACCCAAGAAATGTGACATTTGAGTGTTGACATAATATCTTACGTCACATTAGTCATGCTACGTGGGTTGGCACCTGTTTCTACGAGTATAATGGTGTGATTTTTATCGAAATCTAAATTATTTGGATTGCAATAAAGGGTTTTAATATTAATTTTTAGTGGCAAAAAGCATTTTTGAGTTTATGAAATATCACTTTTTTCAGGTTCGTCCATACGTCTAACTCTCGACCGGAGAAACGTGACATTTTGGTGTAGAGAAATGCTTTTTGTGTACACAAAATATTAATACTAAACGCTTTGTTGCATTCAAAGTAATATAGTTTTTAACAAAAAAAGAAAGACACATTACTAAAGGAATGCCTGTCGGGAGAAAAGTGATATATGGTGTAGACAAATTCGATAAAATTTTGTCTATGTCGTGGCCATATCCTAGAATTGATTATTTCATAATCTTGCAACATATCCATATAACTATAGAATAGCCTTTGTAGCTCCACCGTCGCACTACACTCCTACATTTATCTCATAAACTTAATCAAGTAATCGTTTTTCATTTCTTGGTCACCCATTTTTTGTATTTTGTTGAATAACCTAAAAATAAAGTTACACCATGTATCACAAATACAATGCGACATGAGTACCTCTTACTGAGTCTAATCTAACTATTTACGATATGATCACTAATGAATCATGAAGCAGTAATACGATCTGCTGCCCATATCGCTATATAAATTATTTATTGACCTGATCAGGCCACATTATGATGTGGGCAGGAAGTTTATTCTATTTTATGAAATGGCCGGCCACATCATGTTTTCATCAATTCTACGATCTGGCCACGACATCTTCACCCATATGACACTTTTCTCGGGTGTGTCCATATGATATCACACTTTTCGATGGAAGAAAAGTGATTTTTTCGTGTAGATAAAGTGTTTCTCAAGTTTGTCATGTTACTTGTACTGGTGTGCTTTCTGTTACATTGTATCGCCGCCGAGGGCTCGACGAACCTAAAAAGAGCTTTCAAACCGCTTTAAACTCCATGACGGCTTTTTCTTCGCACTAAGAAAAATACGTTGAACTTGCTTTGAAACATATAATTTTACATTTATTAAATACGTACAGCGAGACCCGGTGGTGTTCATAAGTCGGTAAGTAGCCTCGATTGTATTTCAGAGTTCTATCGCGTGTACTCTAGGGATAATCTTTATTTATCGCGTTTTCTTCTTTCGTTCTACACTAATTTTGAAGTAACCGCATTTTCGATTATGGCACAGTGTGACGTCTCTGTTATTTACGCCCTGCTTCACCAGCGACCAACAATGTAATAGGTAGGACATAGAGCTGTGGGATAGCGGATGACGAATAGCGCGTATTTTTTTTTAGCTATTCTTAGAGCTCGGCGGTACAGGGTTTACCGCGTTCGGTCTGTGATACGGGTGATAAGCAACTTTCACAAGGGCCTGTTTTAGGGCGAGTGGCCAAAAAATTAACTATCTCTAGCTCCTCCGTGATTCGGAAAGCATGTTAAGCCCTTGGTTCCAGTTGAATCTGCATTCGTTAACATTCACCAATGTAGGGCCTGTGTTGAGGGTCACGGTCCGGTAATCCTATTCGATTCTATTCCATCCATAATGGAGTCCTGCGCCCAGCAGTGGATAAATAGATTAGGTAATGATAATGATAACCACTATGAGAATAAATAAAATGAATGGGGAATTATAGATGTACCTATAAATAAAAAAATTTGGGTCTTTTTCGTGCCCTCATTTAAATGTTGCAGTTTTCTAATTATTAATCACAGTTTAATTTGAACGTTATTTACACAAAGACCCCAGTTAAACACACTTTAGCTCTCATTTTATAATACGACAGTCTAAATTTCATCGCCGGGACATTTTCTTCTTTTCATTTTATTATCATAGTTAGATGTTCTCCCATGACTTCACCAGGGTAAATTATAGTATATGTCACCCGCGTATGATGTTGCTTCCCGCAGGTTAAAAATTTTTTAAAATGGTTCCAGTAGCCCATTCGATGTAACAAAAACAATCAATGTTTTCCTGTTTATAACATTAGTATGTTAAGGGTGAGGTAGAAAACAAACAAACAATAACATTCAATGATGCAATACTTCTATTATCTGTATATTTTAAATTTGAATTGTATAATTCAATGGTTATATTTGAAACAATTCTTTTTAATTTATCAAAGAAACTTATTTTACATGCTTATGATTTTAAGTGTAACGAGTTACGAAGAAATTTTGCTTTACATAATTAATAGACTAGAATTTTTACAACATTCAATTGTTTGAATTCTACAATTCGAGAAGTTGAATAAATAACATATATGTTATACAAATGTCATATTCCTACGAATGAATTGAAGCGTTAGTCTGTTGACTGTTAAGTTAAAAATCGTTCGCAAAAAACTTATCTCTTTTGGTAACTTGTTGTATAACTTTGCAACAAATTATAAAATAAATATGATCAATGAAAAACTATTGTTAACAAACAAATACCGAAAAATAAAGAACATAAAACTAGAGGTATACTTTATAGTTTTTCAATGAATAAATCGTAACTCGTTTGCATTTTTTTAATTTAAAGTCAACTAGCTATTCCATAAATACCTACGAAAATTTAACAATTAATTTACAAAATTAATAAGTTAATCTCCAATTTCACCGCTATAAGCGTTTTATAATTTATAAGTACGTTAATAGTACATTAATTGGCAAAATTTTCGATACAACAAATATTGCGTAAATTTATAATGTAATTAAATATTATTATAAAATATTTTGCTTTGCTAATCCTTTTATTAATTATAATAGTATTTTGGAGTCTTCTTCAATAAAACCATTAAAAATTACAATATGTAAGAGGATCTTTTAAATGAATAGAAAACTATGTGTTAAATTTTTTTGAAATAATCTATGATCACTTAAAACTCCTTGGTATTTACCTGTGAAAATCGGCTGGTATTTTCACAAGAAAATTCGAAAGACTTAAGTATATTTCCAAATAGTATGTTCAAAACAAAGGTGTAAAGTCTTCGAAAATTGCGATTAATTTTTACATGAAACAGATAACTTACTTAATATTAAAGTAGTAAAAAAAACAATAGCTTCATTTCCATATTAGTTAGACAGATCTCAAAGTACCTATGTTAAAGTTGTTTCTCTAGCCATGTGAATATAATCACTAATATGGATTCACAATTACATAACACGCAATCCTCATTTGTAAAGAGTGTCCAAATTAGGTATCAAATCCTCATGACGTGAGAAAAATTGCCTTAAAATCACGAAAAATAAAGTATTTAAGTTAACCTTCAAAATAATCATTGCTATCGCCGATAGAGACGTCTTCCTCCGATCTCTTTCCGAGGCCGAAATTGAAACGGTGCATGTCCCTTTGCCGTTTGCCCAGTCCGAAGTTGAATTTGCTGCTCAACCGCTTGCCCAGACCGAAGTCGTACGCTCTCGCTCGCTTGCCCAGTCCGAAGTTGTAGAGGGGCATGCGCTTGCCCAAACCGAAGTCGTACATCCGAGCTCGTTTCTCTTCGCTCTCATCGTCGACGTACCTTTTGCCAAGTCCGAAACTGTATGGTCGTGCTCGCTTCTCCTCGTAAACTGTGCAGGAAATACAGTATTAGATGCATACATGGGAATAACAAATATTCGGCTATGCTTGGCAGTCGGTAATAAGTGTTTTTTTTATAGAGCTGGAATATATGTTCCGCTAAAACAATTGTAAGTTTTGAACATATAATATTAATAGGTACTTTGAAAGTCATTTGCTTTAAATGAAAATTCAAATAATACATATAAATAATGTTAGGTATGTACATTTTTTATTACAGATAAGAGTTGGAAACAATATACAAATATATCTAGTAAAAATTACCTGGTCCATCTTCATACTGGTCAAATAATTCAGCCAGAACTTGCTGATCTTCATTGCCGAATTCCTCCGTTGAATCATCATCAACAGAACGTTTGCCGAGGCCAAAAGAATATGGGCGAGACCTGTGTTTAATAATAAAATGTTAATAATATAAAAGCCAGCCACCACCGAACACAGCCACCCGAAAGTGCAGAATCCTTCTGCTCAAAATAGTACATTTTTACAAATAAAATTTCTACCAAAATATATGATGCAATGATCAAGATTTTGTACAATGTTTCACGTGGACAATCAACGTCAGTAACTTATGAAAATGTAACGTCACAACTCTGTTAGAGTTGCGGAAACTCTTATTTTCCCGTTTTGATTCACTTGTTCTACCAAGTTTTATTTTCTCAGGTTTAAGAAAGATACGCTTAATTTTATGCTGTCTTTTTTTATCATATACTAATAATTTTATTAGGCTCCATGTACCATTTGGTATGCTTCCAAGAACCACCGGTCAAGGACCACTGCTGTAGATAATACTTACCTCTTCCCAAGGCCGAAGTTGTAAACGGGTAGCCTCTTATATTCTGATACGTAGCTGTACGCTCTCTTGCCGAGTCCGAAGTCGTAATGAGGCGACCGCTTCTCCAGCGGCACGGAGTGTACATCTGCGCCGTGGCTTTCATCATGGTCTTGCTCGTTTGATACACGCTCCGGCGCACATAATGCAACGCCCACCATCAGAAAACACACCGCTACTGAGGAGTACAACATTCTGTAACAAAGTTTTCATATTTACAATCGTACTCACACGTTACATTACATTAACCGAAGGCAAATCGGTTTATTATGGGGTATCTGGGGCTTTCCATGGGGGTAACTTAGGATTAATATGAGGGTAACTGGGGTCCTAGTCTGTTACAATATTATGAGAGCCAGTTACATTTCTCATATAGATTATTAACAATATGACGTTTTTTACCTTATTGGATAGTTTTGGCGAACAATCCATAATTAAAATTGTCCAATCATGGCATTTTCTGGTACCGCGTAAATTTTTCTCTTATTTTTACCATACTACATGAATAAGATATAAATTAAAAGAATTGAAAACCAGTATCTTAATGGTTATCATCTAGTCTAATATTATATTATTTATTGTAATGGATTCACTCCGTAGTTTCTTTCAGGGATTATTTTTATTTTTCTTTTTATAAAATCCAGTTTTCTCGAGATAAAACTATCCTACGACCAATTTATTTAAAATTGGTTCGGTAATTTAGGCGTGAAAACATAACAGACATACAGATATACTTTGGCATCTATTATATTAGTATGGAATTTGCAAGTTGAAGTAGAGTACACGTCTCCAAGTTTTAGATGGCAAATAATTCGTCCATTAAATTGTCATGTCACCATGGCAAAAGGTATCTATAATATATTTTCAACCTTTATCTTTCAATATTCAAGTACAAAATTGCAGAAGCAGAAATTAGCTGATTGCTTGACATGTTTAATGAAAAATTACCAATTTTACCACCTACCATTTATCACTATTTATTTGATGTCTTTCCAATTTCCTAAGTCTAATCGGAATAATTAGTAAGGATTAAATTGTGGATAAAATAATTACTATAGATTTCACAGAAAGGTGTGTCGACGCGTCTTTAGTCCTCTAATTAATTTCAAAGCTAATTAAAGTGTTAGTACAAATGTTTCCTTAAAATATTCCCTTTAAGGACTTTGGCGTTTAATTCAATTACATATAAATTTCAACATGGAATAGACGTTTCTAACTTGAAATGTTAATAAAACCTAATCAAAAAACAGATAACAACTACATTTTTTATATATGATAGAAATATTCGATAAAAGTATAGTTATAAAAGCATTTAAAAAAAATCTGTAATTAAATGCAATGCTGCAGTCGTTAAAAAAACATTACAGGCAAAACGAAACACATTTTATTTTCATTTTTCAAAAAAACTAAAACCACCTTTCTTGCTTAGTTCCTAGGTAAGCCATAGATACTACCTATACGGCCAAATTTCTATGGGCCAGGTGCACGGTAACGAAAGACCGTTAAAAATCACAAAGATGTGCTTGTGGATTTCCATAAAAAATATCTGTTTAACGGTGAGTTGCACAAACATCCATTAAGGTTTAATGACGCCTTTAAGCTCTAATGAATGTCAATTTTGTATAGGTAATGTCGCTTTAAACTAATGTCAATTTTAATGGACGTTTATGCAACTGGCTGTAAGTTGACAATTTGAGAACCGTTTCCTTTTTGGTTTCAAATCAGTTAGCAACAGCTCCGAAAATTTTTTATATAAACCTTTACAACACCTTTCCCAACCGCTTTAACCGTCGTATATATATTTTTTAATTTTAATTTTTACAAAAGATATTAAAACCTTTTTATTGCTATCCTGGAGTAACAAAGAAACCTCAGAATAATATGCTTTGCTATTATTCTAACTTCGATCATCAATAAAACTATTCTGAGTAAGAAACTACCGTTCTAATTGCTATTACTCTCTGCTATTATTGCCTGGTGTTGGGTATTTGTAGGTATTTCAAAATAGTATATTTTTTCATTACTTTATTTTTATTTTAAATAAACTCTACATTCCTTATGTTGAGCTTTCACTAACAATAAGTTAATTTTGCATATTTTTTTGACAAAACCAAAGACCTAAACTAGCTAAATAGGTGTAAACTGATTCATAATTTGGTAATATAAATGTATGTTCGCCATCACATAAGCAGATCGACGTCGTCCTAAAAAAACAAAGCAATGAAAAGTGCCATAATGACTTTTTGTGGGCATAAATATTTTTTTATAAAATTTTAACAAAGGTATTTTTATTTCATATAAACCGTACGAAATAATTAACTAAGTATTTCATTAAAATCACTTTATATATTTCACTCATAAAAAGTATTTTAAGCGCTTGTCAAACTTATTACACAAGATCTGCCCTATTTTTCTAAGAAAAGTAATATTTTAATGACATATAACCTCTTAATCGATTTAAATTTTTAAATAACAAAGATAATTTTGACGCATCTCCGAACTGAAAAGAATATTGTTGCTTCTCTAATTTTCCAAGCCCAAAAAATCCTTAGCCTTCATTAAACTCAACAGAAAAAAGGCAGCCGAATCAATTTAGCCGCCTTCGAGTTTTGCGCAAAGCAACATATTTGGAATTTTTTTTTATTTAAATAACATAGGTATACGAAAAAATAAAATATAAACATAGCATTACATCACACGAGATTATTAAGTTACAAAAATACATATTCGTACAAAATAATCGCTTTAAGCCAGTCGCCTTGAGGATTCCGCAGTATGCTGTCACATGCTTTCGTTCTCGCTCTAGCAAATGGCGCTTCTCGGCAACAGAAAAGGATAAGGCGATAAAGTGCTATTAGATATAGTTTGATCCTCTTTCATAATCATATGTAGATATGCTTGGCATTTTTCGGTTGTGATCCACAATACAAATCTTGTTTTATTTGGGTGACGACGTATTTTTATCGGTATGTTTAAGTGTAAAGACAAGAGTGCATCAAGAAAACGAAAACGAAATTCGTAAACAAAGCATCTGTTTACCAAAAACATCAAAGAAAAACTTGAAATCTAAATAGGGATACTCAGTACACTTAAAATGAGTTAAGTTGTCCTCATAAACAATTCAATTCATAATATAATCTGTAGTAAATTTTACGATAGAGATATCTCAGCAAAGATATTCATTACTAAGTGTAACAGAAGCATTTCGCACCAAAATTACTCAGTTTATGCTCGACGTTGTTGAGGAGCCTCATAATTAAAACGAAGAAACTTGGTCATAGTTTACAGTTTAAGATGTTGATTCGAGGATATGCAGCTCCCATACAACCAACATGATTTTTGATACATGTACAAAAGTACGTATTCAGAACGGAACCCCTCGTGCGCGAGTCCGATTCGCACTTTAAGATAACATCTAAAACCGGTCGGTTTTTAGATGTTACCTTAAACGGTTAATTATATATTTATTTATTTGATAATTCACGAAAAAAAACGATTAAAACGCCTTCAAAAGCCTTATAATATTATCGAAATTTACGGAATATTAGTTTGAAGATGAAGTTCATTATTTCTTACGACTTAGTCGCAAAAAGGTTCTTTTCTCATATCCAGTTGCAAAGACCTGCTATGGAAATAATACGTTTGTTAGAAGATCTTGTAGAACATACGACCAAAAACTGTACAATGTTGACATCTTTTGCTCAAACTTTAAAGAATTTAAGAAAAAATCACTTGAAATTTTATCACATGTCTCATGAAGTGAACAAGAGGTTATTTTTTCTTTATTTCAGTTTTATAGTCCCATTTAATTACTTATTTTATGTGTAATATAGGTAAAAACTTTAAATTAGGATTCATTTTTTTTGTTTTCTCGTGTTGGAATGCTTATTTTGTTAACTGTGTGTTTAAATAACGGTTTTTAAGTACATCTTGTTTTTTATAATGAACACATTTGTTATGTAACTGTTTGTTCCTGAATAAACTAAAAAAAAAGGCTAAAATTGTACAAAATTTGTATCACATTAATGAGGAAGATTCAAATGAAACTAGGGCTTGAAACAATAGTTTCATGCGCCAAAAAGGGCCCACATAGCTATAAGACCGAGATCAAACGACGATGAAAATGCGGCAATTTCGAATATGTATACAACTCGATTATGGCTAAAATGTCACTTATTCATTTTGCCCGTGAGCCCTCGATATAAAACTATATGCCAAAACCTTCGCAATTTCATCAGCAATTCGCATAACGCATATTTGTTACAAACATGTTCGTCTTTACCTTTTCCCTTGTCATGGGCTATAAATATTAGACTATGCCTTTTTATAGATTTTTATTCGAAATCATTCCGAATCTGACAAAATTACGACGTGGATAATTTCTTAAAGTCTTTAAAATTTCAAATAGTACAATGTGAAAAATGAAATGCCATTGGATTTTGGAAGTACTGAAAGACAACATGGAAGTATTGATAATTTAGTAGGCTTTTGTAATTTCAGTGATTCGCACAGCGCATATTTGTTACAAATATATTGTCCGTTGGATTAATGGGATTATAAAGGAGATGCTTGCATTTCGATTTATATTTCTACAACCCTTTCAGATCATTTTGGTTGAGAAGAAATTATCAACCTTATGATTAGCTCGACATTTTTAACTGATGTCATTACCAAAAGCCTATGTGATTTAATCGGCAATTCGCATAGCGCATATTTATTACAATAATGTTGCCCATTAGATTATTAGGAGTATTGAGGAGGGAATATGTATAATAGCTGATTTTTTTACTTACTTACTTTCAAAACATATTTTGTTTGAATAGGATGATTAGACGCAAGAAATATCAACCTTAACTTTAACAACCACATTTTAAATTGATGTCATTACCAAGGCCTTTATCTCATTGCATCAGGAATTCGCATCGCGTATATTTATTACTGACATATTTATTATTAGTCGTACGGCACTTAGATTTTTATTATTATTTTTTTTATATTCCATTATTAAGGACTAATCGTATTATTCAATACCTTTTGATCTGATATCATTATAGATTTTGATATGATATATACCTACTATAAAATTTCAATAAAGATGCTTTGTTATCTTATATATATAAAAAATTTGTGTCACGATGTATGTTGCCAATAAACTTCAAAACTACTGAACCGATTTCAATCAAATTCCACATGTA